TCTCTGCTTGCTCTATCTGCCTGTACACCAGCAACCCATCCTCTGATCTGTAGCTCTGGTTCCCATCCCCCTGCCAAACTAGTTTACCCCTCCCGAAGGGCTATAGGAAAGCTCCCACCCAGGATATCGGTGCCCCTCCAGTTCAGGTGCAACCCGTCCTTCCTGTACAGGTCCCACCTTCCCCAGAAGGTATCCCATCCACAAATCTGAAGCCCTCCCTCCTACACCATCTTTGTAGCCACGTGTTCAGCTGCACTCGCTGTCTACTTCTGGCGTCACTAGCCTGTGGCACCGGTAGTAATCCTGCGATTACTACTCTCCTCGTCCTGGCTTTCAGCTTCCATCCTGACTGCCTATATTCACTTTTCTGGTCCTCACCCCATTTCCTAGTATTAATTTCCTAGTTAGCATTAATTGTATATTGGTGAATTATAATCAGAAGCAATATAATTGTAAAAGAAAACAGGCCAATGTAATCAAATTTACAGCTAGTGGAAGAATTCTTACAAGTTGTATTCTGTGTAATAAAACAAAGATTACTGCTAGCATAGTGGCCAGTGTTAGTATTAACCTTTTCAGACCCAACAGTATTCACACCCAGTTTGATGGCAAGAAACGTAGATGTGAAACCAGTGCTTAAATAAAGGCAAGTACAAAAGTATGAAGACATCAGCTGCTAAAGTGAAATGGAAGAATAGCTACAAAGGTTAAGATGGTAGAGACGTAGGCCAGAGATTTAAGAAGATATTTTATAATGCTCATCAAAAAGGAAAAGGATGCAGCATTTGTGACTAAGCGAAGAATTGAAAATTATTAGTTTAAAGAATTAGTACAATGCTATAAAGATTAGTGGTGGCCCTGATCATTGGAGAATTTCAGAAACTAAAGGATACCTAAAATGAAACAAAAAGAGGAGAAATTAGAGCATGAGAGATGACTAAAAGAAAGGCAAGAACAGACAGCAAGAGCAACAAAAAGTTTTTTAAAAACTTGTTCATAGGATACACACATTGCTGGCTACATGTTCATTGACCATCTCTTACTGCCCTCAAGAAGGTGGTGCTACAGTGTGTGTGGTGTAAGAACACACACAGTGTTGTCAGAAAAGGAGTTACAGGATTTTGATTTAGTAACAGTAAAGGAACAGCAAGTCAGGATGATGAGATGGCTTTGAGGGGAAATTGCAGATGGTGGTGTTCCCATATATCTGCTGTACTATTCATCTGGCTGGTAGTTATTGTCCTGTCAGGAAAGTGCTGTCTGATCTGCCCTGGTTAATTTCTATATTGCATTTTATAGATGGTGCAGATTGTTGCTACTAGAGTGAATGGATGTTGAAGATGCTGGATAGAGTGCTATCACAGTGGGCTGCTTTATTATGGATTGTGTCAAACATCAAGCATTTGTTGGAGATGTACTCATCCAGGCAAGTGGGGAGTTTTACATCATGCCTTGTAGATTCTGGACAGGCTTTAAGGAGACAGAAGACAAGTTACTGACTGTACAATTCCTAGTATCTGACCTGCTCTTGTAGCCACAGTATTTTTATGCCACATCCAGTTCAGTTTCTGGTTGATGGCAACCTCCATGATGGTGGTAGTGTTGGATTCAGCCATGGTAACACCACTGAATGCCAAGGAGAACAAGGTCTGCCCCTGGCTTCTGACTCTTGGCCCCAGATACCTGGTGACTCACTTACCACCAGCACTTACTCAACTAGTTGCTGGTTGCTATTCCAATTATTTCTCTCCTGTGGTTGTTGCTAGCAAGCATGTGATATTAGAACGGCTCCACACCATTTGCTTCCAGTTGATTTATCAGCGGCATTTTCTCGCTGATTGAAAAATTCACTCTAGGGCGACCAGAATGGTTTGGGTATTTCAGGGTAACATCCACTTCTGCACCCCTTGTATATTTTGAGTTATCCTTCAAGGTTATCTTTCACTGGACATCCAGTCAGTAAACTGATAACAATGAAACAAAGGGCGAGATTTATCATCAAATTCCATCGACTCATTGGAGTTAAATTTCAACAGCCACTGTATCAGTTATAACCCATCCCATTTGCTGAAGACAAGAGTTAAAATGACACATATCCTGCTGGTGTGCTTGGGACTGATAACCACTTGGCACATGGCTTGTAAAGCCAACCATTTGTTACAATGCAGGGATGCATCAATCTAGTTGAAAATGAATTGCATACTATCACAAAAGTCAAACAGTATTCATCACAACACAGAATGTAAAAATCAATCTAAGTATCTATTAGACAAGCAAAACCGTTTGCCCTACAAACAGTATAGTAAGCATTCTGCACCTCCATCTACTGTGGAGTCTCATGTCCTGACAGGTGGTTACTTCAGTTTTATTGATGACAACTTTTAATTCACATGTACAGCTGTATTATTCTCACTTCCTCCAGCTTTACAATCAGTGATATGCATTTTTAAATATTATTCTCATGTGGTTATTACCAAATCAGTAGAAATGCCAAACTGTATAATAATAGAGACAAATTGTGGAATTTCTAGATTTCCACTATCCTGGGTGAAAGTGCACTTCCTGATCTCATTGTAGAACAATTTAGCTCCAATTTGCATGGGAAATGGAAGCATCACAGTTATGTTCTAATTATCAGGTAAGAGGCAAGGGTAGGAAAAAGATCCTATTTGGGAAATACAAGAATGAAGAAAAAAACTAAAATCAGGACCTTAAAGGTTGCAATTTCTGGATTATTATCTGAACCAGGTGCAAACTGGCACAGAGATAGAAGATTAGACAGGTAAACATTTGGCTCAAAGAGTGGCATAGGAAAGAGGGATTCCATTTTATGAAGCACTGGCAAGGTACTGTACCATTGGGACAGAAATCCAAGCATACCATGTCCATTGGCTCTCTTTTATCAATTCTGTCAGCAACATCTGCATCAAAATCTGCAACAAGTTCACATTCTGTGAGAGGGTCACTGGACCCAAAATGTTAACTCTTGATTTCTCTCCACAGATGCTGCCAGACCTGCTGAGATTTTCCAGCAATTTCTGTTTCAGATTTCCAGCATCTGCACTTTGTGTTTTTTTGTCCAGATGAACTGATCTGGGACCAGGATCCTACTGGAAAGGCTAAATAGTCTGGTCACAAGAATTTAAGCTACTTAAAGATGGGAGGACTCAAAAGGGGTTATTAAAAACAAGTTACAGGACAGAGAATATGGCAATAATTCACTACTCCTATATTCAAATCTTGTGCGATAAATGTTAATACTCCATTGGTCTTCATAATAATTTGCTGCATCCTCTTTTGTTTCTATATTCATTAACAGCATGAGGACATCACTGGCTAGGCAGCATTTATTGCTCATCCTTAATTGCCCAGAGGGCAGTTCAGACTTAACAACATTGCTGTGGATCCGGAGTCACACGTAGGCCAGACCAGGTAAGGATGGCAGTTTCCTTCCCTAAAGGATATTAGTGAACCAGATGGTTTTTTCCGACAATCGACAATGGATTCATGGTCATCATTAGATTCTTAATTCCAGATATTTTACTGAATTCAAATTCCACCAACTGCTATGGTGGGATTTGAACCTGGGTCCCCAGAATGTTATCCAGGTCTCTGGATTAACAGTCCAGTGATAATACCACTTGGCCATTACCTCCCCCATGCCTCTGTATGTTAGTCTTCAGTGACTACTGACAAGGACACCTAGCTTGCTTTGAATGTCTACACTTTCCAACAACTTACTATTTAAGAAAGACTCTGCACATCTGCTCACCTACTGAAGTGGATGACCTAATCTTTTTCTACATTATGTTTCATCTGCCATTCTCTAACCCATTCATGGAGCCTGTTGAAATCCTCCTAAAGCTGCTTTACATCTTTCTCGTACCTCACATTCTCACTTAGCTTTGTTTCATCTGCAAATTTGTAGATATTACATTTGGTTCCCACGTCCAAGTATTGATAATAGATTGAGAGCAACTGGAGCCCAAGTACTAGTCCTTGTGCTACCACACTAGTCATAGTCTGCCAATGTGAGAATGACCCATTTATTCCCTCTCTGTTTCCTGTTGGTTAGCCAATCATTAATTCATGCCAGTACATTATCTCTTATCCCACATTCTTTAACCTTTCTAACCAGCCTCCTATAGGGCATTATCAAAGGCCTTCTGAAATCCAGGTATACCATGTCCATCGGCTCTCTTTTATCAATTCTGTGAGCAACATCTGCATCAAAAGCTGCAACAAGTTCACAAAACATGATTCTCTGCACGCAAATCCATGCTGGCCATGTCAAATCAGATCATTATCAAACAACTATCCATTATCCCAACCTTTATTATAGACTGTAGGATTTTTCCTACTACTGATGTAAGGCTAAGAGGTCTGTAGTTCAAGTTGAAGGCTTGCGTTCAAGTGTCACCTGCTCCAGATATGTGTGCTTATGTTGGTGATTGACCCAGGAGTGTGTGCGCATTGGTGATTTGTGCTACAAACAATATACTTATAATTGGCTAAACACCTAAAGTGTTTATCTGGTGCTTTAATCTGGAGCCCCTAATTCTTGATTTTCCAATACATTCCACCTTGAAAGGAACTGGTCCCGTTATCTGAATCAAGTCGGAAAGGGGTGGGAATTTCAACCGGCAGTTGAGTAGAATTCTCCTGAAGTGAACAGTGTGGTTCAGTCTGACAGTGTTTGAAACAGATTTTTATGCAATCAAAAGCAGCTTAACATCCATAAAATTGATAGAAATCTGTAATTTCCCTAAATGATATCTGTGCATCACGTTTGGGAACTCAGAGTTTCTACTGACTGACTGATCACACCTCTGTAAAACATCTTGGGACATTTTAGTGCATTAAAGGCATTATGTGATTACAAGATGAAATTAAATTTCATCAGATTCGAGTGTGAAACAACAGCTGAATCTCCAGAGGTTTTTAGCCTTGTGATTGAGCCAACCAGGCAGAAAACCATCTGAAGTTCTGATGCCACTCACCTGACATGGACTTTGCAGAGTCAATGGTCTGAACTCGTTGTAAAGACGCTGGAGATCGGTTTGCAGAGGAAGATCTCAGTAAGTGATCTGCTGCCAAATAAATAGAGAACAAAGTGTAAAGCCAATAGAATACTACAATAAGACAGCAATATAAGGTGTTGACAAACTTCTTGTTGTTTGTTATGTTTTCTAAGTCATTAGTAAACAGTGAATAGTTAAAGGCACAGCATTAATTCTTTTAAAACACCATTAGTAACTTCTTTTCAATTCTATTATCCCTACTCTGTGTTCTACTGTCTGAACAACAATCTGGTCACGTCAATAATTTGCGTAGAATTTCATTAGTTTGAATTATAACAGTCTCTAGTTTGAAACCTTGAGAGCCTTCCGGAAGTTGATGCAAACTGCATCCATAGAAATGCAGCTACTTCTTGGAAAAGCGCTCAATTAGATTTGTAGGGTTCGATTTTTTCGGCAGATTCATGATGACCTTCTAATTATGATCAGTCACTTGTTCTGTAAATACAGACTACAGTATTTGAGCCAAAACTAATAATTGCATAAAAGACCTATAATTTTCTGCCTTTTCTGCATCAGCTTCTTAAACAGCAGAGTTACATTATTGTTACCACTTGGGACAACAGATATTTCCCAAATGATAGCACTTTCTCCAATCTAGCATTTATGGTTTGGCTTCACTCCACACTACACTGCAGAGAGTAAATTCAGATAAGGTGACTGCCTTGCCAAACAGCTCTGTTACAGCTTTAACTATGGTCCTCCTCCTTTCAATGCTCCACTTTCATACCCATCCAATGCAAACTGTGAAACTTCTTACATTGTTCCAATGAAGTGCATATACGTCACAGGATCCTTTCTCTCTGACGTTCTGCAAATTTGTTTGTACAATGACATTAGTAAGGAGAGGACAGCAGGAACAGGCTGTGCACTTGGTACTTGGTGTCCCCTCTGTTTCAGAGCTGCATGACTCAGTTGTGCGCTGACAATGTTTTTTAACTTAACATCTCATCAAATCCAACAGTCATGTTTTCTATTTGTCTCATTTTTTGAATTCCAATGTTGGACCTCTTAATACTGCAGCTTATCATGATGACAAATGTCAGTAGCACTCTCACCTCTAAGTCAAAAGGTGCCCAACTCCAGGGCTCAGGCACAAACCTCAAGGCTGACTTGCAATACGGAGATAATGCAGCCTTGTCAGAGATTTTGCTTTGGGTAAAATATTAAATGGAGGCCCCATCTCCATGTTCAGGGATCGTGACACTGTATCAAAGCAGAGCAGATGCGTTCTCGATGTGTTCTGGTCAATATTCATCCCTCAACAATATCACAATCAGCTTATTTGGTGGTCATCATCACATTGTTGTTTGTGGAATCTTATACACAAAATCATTACTATGTTTCCTACATTACAGTAGTAATTCCATGCTAAAAGCACTCCATTGGCTGTAAAACAATTCGGGTCTTCTGATAACAGTGAAAAGTGCTACATAAATGCAAACTTCAATGCATGCATCCTGCAATGTTTTTTTAAACGTCCTTTGTGTCAGCTGGGGCAGTTGTTTGAGACAGAAGGTTGTGGATTGAGACCCATTGCAGGAACATGAGAACTAAAAAGTTAAGATTTGTATTTTGGATTGCTAACGTGGTTGTTGACTTACTCGCCGAACTGGGAAATTTGTTCGCAAACGTTTTGTCACCATGCTAGGTAACCACATCAGCGTGCCTCCAGTGAAGCATCGGTGTTTTTTCCCGCTTGCTATGAGTGTGTCTTGGTTTGCTGGGGTGGGTGGCACCACTTCTGGATTTGCTTCTTAGTGGATGGTATATGATGTCCAGCTCTACATGTTTGTTGATGGAGTTCCAGTTTGAGTGCCAGGCCTCCAGGAATTCTCATTTCTTTGCTTGGCTTGTCCTAGGATAGCTACGTTGTCCCAGTCGAATTGGTGCCCCTCTTTGTCCATGTGTATTGAAATGAGTGATAGTTGGTCATGTCTCTTGGTAGCTAGTTGGTGTTCATGAATCCTGATGGCTAGTTTCCTTGCAGTTTGCCCTATGTGATGATTTTGGCAGTCTTTGCATTGGTATGTTGTAAATAACGTTGGTTCTGTTAGTTGTGGTTGTCGGATCCTTTATTCTCGTCAGTAGCTGTTGGTTTGTGGGCTACCATGATTCCTAGGGGGTGGAATAATCTGGTAGTCATTTCAGATATGCCCTTAATGTATGGGAGGGTGACCCTCCTGATTTTGAATATCTCTTAGGAAATCTCTGCTTTGCCTTCTCTTCTCCAAGGGGGAAATCCTGAACTCCTCAATCAATGTTCATATCCGAAGTTCCTTAGCTCTGGATCCAAACCCACAAATCTTTTCTACACCTCTCTCATGTCTTTGCGCCCTTCCTAAAGTGGAATGCCCACAATTAGATGCTACACTTCAGCTGAGATCGAACTAGCAACTTATAAAAATTCAATACAACCTCCTTGCATTTACACTCTCTGCCCCTCTTAATAAAAACCAGGATATTGTACTCATATTAATACAAATTTCTAAGACAGATCTTACTCTACTATTTTAATTAAACTTTTTGTTAAAGCAATGGAGAAGGTTGATGAAGCCAATGCAATTGATGTTGACTATATGGATTTTAAGAAAGTATTTGACAAAATACCATATAAAAGACTGTTAACAGAATTCAGGCAGATGGAATGGGAGGTCCGTGCCAGCTTTGCTGAAGAAAAGTTGGTGTTGTACACGGAAAACAGTGAATTATGACAAATGGATTTTTTTTAGATTGGGAAATGGAAACAGTGATGCTCCCAAAGTTCAACGCCCGGGCCAGTCATTTTCTACATATAATTTTCTACAATCTCAGAAGGTGACAGGACATTTTGAGACAGTATTTGGGATATTGGGCTTCATCAACAGCGGTATTCAGTACCCAAGCACAGCAGTTACGCTGAGGTTCTGGTGAAAAGTGACAACTTGACATTAACTTTGCTTCTCTTTCCATAGTTGCTGCCAGTCCTGCTTAGCATTTCCAGCTTTTTCTTTTTTTATTTGAGAATTCCAACATCTGCAGTATTTTAGAATTATGCTGAATTATGAACCTTGATTAAGATCTGCTGCAGATGCAACTAGAGTACTGTTTTCAATTGTGGTCAACGCACATTTGAAAATGCGAGGATTCTTGAAAGGTTGCAGAGGAGATTTAATGGATGGTTCCACAGACAAGAGCTTTTAGCTACAAGGTTAGGTCAGAGAAACTCTAGTTGTTGAAGGAGGTGGGGGGATATTTGATAGAAGTGTACAAGATTATGAAAGATTTGGATTAGGTAAACAAAGAAAAGCTATTCCCATTAGCAACAGAATAAGGACCAGGGAACACAGGCTTACAGTTTTTTGTGCAAAAGGTGCAGACGGAATGAGAGGGATACATTTATTTACACAGAGAATGATAAATTCCTGGAACTTGCTGCCCATGAGGATGTTGGAAATGGTGATTATGAGTGATTTCAACAGGGAATTGGATGAGCATTTGAGAGAAATTAAACTGCAGGTTAACTGGGATGGAGCAGGAAAATGGAGCTGATAAAGTATACAACATCCTAGGCTTATTAATAGAGGCATAGAGCACAAAAGCAAGTATGTTACATTGAACCTGCAGAAAACACTGCTTTGGCCCTCAATAAAGTACTATTTCTATTCAGGGCACCACACTTTAGGGTAGATGTGAAAGCATTGGAGTGGAGAAAAGATTCACAAAAGTGGTCCCAGCAATACAAAACTCCACTTATAATTGGAAATGTCTGGACTGGTTTCCTGCTCTTGTACAGCCAGTGCAGACACAATGGGCCAAATAACCTCTTTCCATGCTACAACCATTCTGCGACTGATTGGATTGTTCTACAGAGTCAGCATGGACTTGAGGGGTGAAGGGCCTCCTTCTATCGTGTAATAACAATGACATACAGGAATACGCTAAGGAATTGAAAAGGACAGGAAAAAGTTTCAGAGTTTGGCAAAGGCCAAACCCAATTTTTCAGTACAGTGTAATAGTGCACAGATCATTAAAACAAAGCTTCAAGATCTGTACTGTACATATGTACTATATCTACGATGAGCAGACTGCCTTATGAGGAACGGTTAGACAGGCTAACCTGTATCTTCTGCAGTTTGGAGAGTGCGGGGTGACTTAATTGAAACATAAATGATCCTAAGGGGGCTTGACTGGGTGGACACGGAAAGGATATTTCCTTTTATGGACGAATCTAGAACTCGAGGTCATAATTTAAAAATAAGGGGAAGCCATTTAAAACAGTGGTGATGAAACTTCTTTTCTCCCAGAAGGTTGAGTAGTTTTGAAATTTCTTTCCTCAAAGGCAGTGGATGCAGAACATTAAAAATTTTTAAGGCAGAGGTGGATAAATTCTTCATTACCAAGGAGATGAATGATTCTTGGGGATATACAAAAATGTAGAACTGAGGTTAGAGTCACAGAGTCATAGCGTCCTACAGAATGGAGACAGGTCCTTTAGCCCAAACAGGTCCGTGCCGACCAAAACGGCCATCCACACTAAGCCCATTTCCCTGCAGTTAGCCCATATCCTTCTAAGCCTTTCCTATCCATGTACTTGTCCAAATGCCTTTTAAATGTTGTTAACATACTTGCCTCAACCACTTCCGCTGGCAGCTCATTCCATATGCATACCACCCTCTGTGCAAAAAAGTTGCCCCTCAGGTTCCTATGTATGCTTTCCCCCTCTTACTTTAAACTGATGCCCTCTAGTCTGCGGTTCTCCAACCCTTGAAAGAAAACTGAGTGCATTCACCCTCTCCATGTCTCTCATGATCTTATACATTTCTATAAGATCCCTCCTCAGTCTCCTATGTTCTAAAGAAAAAAGTCCTAGCTTGCCCAACCTCTCCCTATAACTCAGTCCCTTGAATCCTGGCAACATCCTTGTAAATTTCTTCTGCACTCTTTCCAGTTTAATAACATCTTACCTATAGCAAGGTGACCAAAACTGAACATAATACTCCAAGAACGGCTTCACCAATGTCGTGTACAACTGCATCATAACGTCCCAACTTCTATACTCAATACCCTGACTGATGAAGGCCAGTGTGCCAAAAGCCTTCTTCACTGCCCTGTCTACCTGTGACTCCACTTTCAGAGAACCGTGCACCTGAACTCCGAAGTCCCTCTCTTCCACTACACTCCTTAAGGCCCTACCATTCACTATGAAACTCCCACCTGGATTTGACTTTCCAAAATGCAACACTTCACAGTTATCTATATTAAACTCTATTTGTCATTTCTTGGCCCACTTCCCCAGCTGATTAAGATCCTGCTACAATTTCTGATAACCTTCCTCACTGTCCACGATATCGCCTATTTTAAAAACAGGTCAGCCACAATAGTATTGAAAGGCAGAGCAGGCTAGAAGAATCAAATGGCCTACTCTTGGTCCTAGTTCGTATGTCCATTAGGACATGTAGGTATCAATGGAAATCAACACACAATATGTTACCTGCATTAGATAATATGCGATTAAAAAAAAAATTTACTTCCTCAAGCTATGCAGTTTTGTTTCAGTGAATTAATTCAAAGTCCAATGAAGCATATTACATGAATTAAGTCCTGTTACGTGCACTGCTGGTGTAATATTTAAGATGATACACCTAGTTGAATACTAAAAGATGATTTATATTTGGCTTGAGTTGAAACAACACACTTCTACTGGGATTAAAAGCTCTGTTGTATTAGGGACTGAAGTTTATTCACCACAAGAATGCAGCTGTCTCATCTGTCACTAAATGGATGTACAAAAGATTCAGGTTCCACTGCACTGTTTCTCATGTCATTATTTAGAATAAATACATTAGTAGTATCTTCTGCAGTGAAGAGTGGCAGCAAAGTGAGAGGTAATGTTAAATTAAATAAATTACTCTGTTAGAGATGTTGAATTGTTACCATTCAGTTACAAACATCTATGGATGACTATACAAAAGGTTCAGGATCATAGGAGACATGATGGTCATACAGGAACTGCTGGCAGTGACAAGGATTTGGTGAGGAAACAAATCAGTGGATACAATGGCAAGACAAATGTGAATGGAATATCAACAGAATATAGTTTCATAGTGTGAATATCACCAGATTAGTAATTCAATGAACAGGCCAATTTGAGAATTTAAATTTGGTTTAAAATAGGTGCACAAAAAAGCTTTTGTTATAAAAGTGAACTCAAAGTACAGGACAGAGAGAAAACCCGACTAGTGGTAACTCTACATTCTCAAACTTTGAATCAGAATTCTTAGTTAGTTACAGGATTCTGTGGATCACAGTTTGAAGACTACATTTGACTTAGGCCCAACTCTACCTCAGTTATCTTACAAACTGTGTTACGAAGATCCTCAATATTTAATTGTGCTTGCAGACTTAAGTTTTGATGGATTGTGGAAAATACACTTATTTCATGGTTTGTGGAAATACCACAAGTGGTTTCTCAAAATAAATCACTGAAATTCACTGTGGACATTAGAAGTTCTTTGTAAACAAAGCTTCCTGTAAATCACATGACTAGTGATAATTGCTTGCTTTGCTGTCAGCATCCACTGTGACTGTTTTGAATAGTAACTGGCTTTGAGGATTTTGTTCAATTTTGTGGAAGTTTGCTAAGATGATGAGTTGAAAGAAAGCTTGCTAAGAACTAGCTTCTGAGCTTCTGAAAATGAAATCCTCCTGTTGAATTCAAGGTGAAACTTACTTGTCCTTTGGTTCGGCCACACTTAGAGTTTAGTGCTCAAATCTGGAAGGATATGGAGGCTTTGGAGAAGGTACAGAAGAGGTTTACCAGAACACTGTCTGGATTAGATGGTATGAACTGTAAAGAGAGGCTAAAAGAAACTCCAGCTGTTTTCTCTGGAGCACGGAGGCGGAGGGGAGATTTGATAGAAGTCTATAAAATTATGAGATGTATAGACAGGGTTGATATTCAGAATTCACCCCCCCTCAAAGTTGAAATGTCTAAAACTAGGGGGTATTTAAGGTAAGAGGGAGAAAGTTCAAAAGGAGATGTGAGGGGCAAGTTTTTTTTAAAAACAGAGTGTGGAACGTGCTGCTCGGGATGGGGATGGAGGCAGATACGATAGGGGCTTTTAAGAGACTTTTAGATAAGCACGTGAACATGCAAGGAATGGAGGGAGAGACCAAGGCCAGGCAGAAGGGATTAGTTAAATTTGGCGTCATGTTTGGCACAACATCGTGGGCCAAAGGGCCTGTTCCTGTGCTGTTCAGTTCTATGTTCAATGTTTAAAAGTGATTGAAGAAATATCTTAAGATTTCATTTCTTGAGCAAGCTGTGGTTGCAAGACTTCAGAGACAACTGTTTGTGATTAGTGACTTGACCACATGTGCCGAAACATCACAGCAACGGACTCCAGAACATGTTACACGTTATCCTTTTGTCTTGTAGAATAAACTACTGTTCTTTTTGCCAAAGGCCAATCTCTGCAGAGAAATCTGTTTGTCCTCTTTTTCTGAAGAGCGAAAGTGCTTTAGTGTGTTTTCTTGTGTGTTTTGGAGATATTCAGAGGGACAAGAATTTTCCTTATACATTCTAACTGCATATGTTAACTAATTATTGCACCTTTATTGAATAAGTTTTGATTTGGTAATAACCAATAAGAAAGTTTTTACTAAAAAGAAAGTCTGGTTGGGTAACATTGTCTATTTCAGATTTTAAAAAACAATCATTTAATTGGTCGGCTTGGTAACTGGGAAAAGTATTTTTATTTATGTTGTGGTTTAGTGCGACTAGTGTGACAGGGTACTCCTCTAGCCTTGATGACTGGTAGATACAATCTTTACCCTCTTGAAAGGTTAACAACACCAACAAGCTCTTATAAAGGCCCAGCATCTACTAGTAAATTTGAAAATACATTCCTTAAAATTCTTTTAAAATTAAACTACTTTCCAAAATCTAGAGCTGACTCACCTGGAACAGAAATTTCAGTGTAGCTTGGCCTCTTGTCTGTTAGCGCTGACAGAGTCTTTGGTGCTGATATCGGCCCACTAATGGAATGTCTCTGTGAAAACATCACACAAACCTTCAAGCTTTGCCACTTGATTTCAGACACTGAGTTGAGTAAAAATATGGATGACTTCCTTAAACTGCTTCAGACACAGAGTGCTCTTCTGTTCTAGTCATTTGTACACTGACAATTTGAGTCAAACAATATAAATCGCAAAATAATCAAGAATTAAAAACAGACATTTCTGGAAATACTATGGAGAAGCCAAGCAGTACATATGGATGTACCAGTCTACTGCAGCGTATTGTTCTCAGATACAAATTACTTTTGTTCCTGCAGCCTCCCTGAGAATGTCAGTGAGCAAAAAGAACTGACAAGTTATTCTAGACATATTCAACACCTCCCAGTGATCAATTAAGGGATGTCAGAAACCTAATGTCAAGGCCCAGGCACCTGTTATGGAACACAGGGTGTAAAAGCCTCAATGTGTGAAAAGAGAAAGGAATGGGCTTTCCAAAACTACAAATGAAATGCCACATTCAAAAACCTCCTCTGCAAACACATCACTAACCTGAAACTCCCAATCACTCCTGCCAGTCTTCTCCATTGTTATTCAGCTTAGGGGCTCTAACTAAACAAGGTTTTAGGAACAGGGGCCACTGCATATCACTCAGCACTGTACTCAAGGGGTGAACAAGATAGGCGGAAGAATGGTCACGAGAGTATTAGTTTTGGTAAAGGCAAGGTTAGAGTTGCCTAGAAGCAGGCCATCTTGATAAGTATGCAGATATGGTCTAAAGGTCATCTTAGGGTCAAGGCAAAAAAAACCCCAGAAGTTACAAATGAGTTTAGCCCTACATTCAGGGAATTGCCAGACATGAAAACAGTGGTATGGAACTGAATTTGTGACATGGATCAAAAGGTATGGATTCAGACTTTCCAATTTTTAGTTGGAAGAAATTTCTGCTTGTTCAACATTGCAAACTGGTCAAGCCATTTCACAAATAGAGACAGCGTAGGGGTCAAATGTGGCAGTGTTGAGTTAGATCAGAGAATCACCAGCAAAGTACCCCTCCAACTACTACTTCTTGAGAGCATGGCTGATTAATATGCATGGGCACTTAAATCTTTCTTGTGCACTAGAGTACGCATGCTAATTTAAAGGGACAGATGTGTCTGGCTGACATGCCAACTTCAGGTTGTTATGTAGCCACATACCTTAGAGAGGGAACCTTGCTCATCAGTGAATCAGTTGAACTTAGCATCAAGCAAGTATTAATGGTGTGTCTTTTTAATCTGTACTACTGCTGCCGCTAAATATCACTGAGGCAATTAGTTTGAAACTTGATTTGCAAATAATGCAGAGCTGAATATCTGCATGTATTCTCCACATTAACCCATGTCTGTACCAGTTATACTGATTGCTGAACCAATCCTTTCACCTAGCCATTCATCCCCTTGTGCCAGTATTTTGAAAGAGCTAAACAATTAATCACTCAACTTTAGAGACAACAAGGTGCAGGGCTGGATGAACACAGCAGGCCAAGC